TGGAATCGGTCGTCCTCGGCCAACTTGCAATCTTATCTCCTTTTGTAATCACGTCTGCTACATTGACCTTATATCACAGTGTCAAGTATGTTGGCTTGTGGCCCCTGTATCCTCGTTATCAGGAATGTGCTAATCCACCTTTCAACTGCATATAGTGCAAAATACAAGGGAGCAGAAAAGGAACATGAAAGTGTGCATGGAGTGCTTTCAGTCTGTTTTTGTCTTCTTTGACCTTTGAGTTTGACAAACCAGCTAGCTGAAGCTTTCACTTTGTTAGGTGATTTATGTTGATTTTGAAAAATGCAAATGGAGTGCTTTGTAATGGAACAGTTTTTTTTTTTTTAGATATAGCAAAGTTTGAAAGCATCACTGAGCAAAATACAGTATATACATCTTAAAAAGTATGATGTGCTGTAAAAACAATTTTGCACATTGTGTGCCATGAAATTTTCGTAGGTGAGCAGCAGAGGTTATTTTTTCTGCTGCGTAGTTTGATACTCGTAAGCGAATTTAGCTGCAAATCACACTAATTTGAGTGCTGTAGGTGCTCTTCAAAGGTTGTGTTTATAATATCAGCTGCATGTTTAGATGGCCAGATTATGCAGCCCCTGGTTCTTAGAAACAGGTTTTTGTTTAAGGCTGAATCTCCTACAAGTGGTATTACCACATTAGCTGTAAAGTTAGTTAAAGCTGTGGCTAGTAGACAGATCACATACATTATATATAAATCCATCTTCTTAAGGGAAAGGCTGCTGCTTCATAATAGTATCTGTATAACTAATACAGAAAGGGTGATACCACTGCGGCCTTTTGGCTTGCGATAAATTTGTGAATCTGGTCTAAGTGCATTGGCTCTACATGTAGAGTACTCATGAAATGAAATGCATCAGTTTCAGTCTATGTAGTCCACATAGGTTCGTCTACACAATCATATGTCTTATCACTGCAAGTTTACTTCATGCTTTCATCAAAGGTAGCGTCAACTTTTCCTACCACATTCACAGAGATGAAATATTCAGGAACATAAGGTGGTCGCTAGAGTTGACATTTTGACAAGCGGACTTACCTTCTTTATTGCTGCTACTGCAAGAGGAGTGCACAAAATCCACCTCGGTGGACCAGTGGCTGGGGTGCTCGGCTGCTGAACCAAAGGTCGCGGTTTCCGTCCCAGCCATTGCGGTAGCCTTTCAATGGAGGCGAAATGGCAGAGTCCCAGGGGCTGTGCGACGCCAGTGTACGTTAAAGAACACCAGATGGTCAAAATTTCTGGAGCCCTCTGGTGCGGCGTCTCTCTTAGTCATGTCGTGGTTTTGGGATGGAAAACCTCACATATTATTATTAGTATAAAATTGCAAGAAGACAAGTTTGCTGGTCAAAGTGCGGGCACCATCGGCACCTCGCGTTCAAGAATTTTTTATCTGATCGAGCGTTTCATCTACCGCTGAACCTCTGCCACATCTATAGCAATGTGACGTGCTAATGTCGAGTATTTGCACTTGCCGGTAGGAATACATAATTTTTTATGTTGTGTTTTATTCCATGAGTAAAGTGGCTTCCAGCTGTATAGATAGGTGGGCTAGTTACTACTGCACATTGGGATAAAACCTAGAGTTAAGAAAGGAAGACTGAGGACAAAGAGAGGTACACACACGTCATAAGCTTGCAACTGGAAAGTAGAGGCTGTTTGTAAAACTGTGTGAGATTTCTCTCATAAGAGCATTGTAACAGTCTGGCCTAATTCTCGTGTACTATCTTTAGGCAGTTGTAAGTGGATTACACTGTAATTGTTGTGCAAGGAAACATTTCATGAAAGGGAGAACCATAAGGAGCGCAGAACCCTTCTTTGAGCTGGTTCACAGCTGTGGAATATTTTTGTCACAAATTGAAGAGAAAACCTTTTAGAAAAGAACAGGACAGGTGCCAACTTCCAGCTAATTTTATTCCACAAAGCAGGTAACTTGGTTTACCTTGTTTTATTGTATTTTATTACACAAAGCATCCAGTTGTGTTCATGCTATTTTATTATATTTCATTCCACAAAGCATACAGCCGTATTTAATGAGTACTCCTCTGAGGTTGTGTAGTTTAATTTATTGAGTTGCCAAAAGAAATATATATTGGCCCAACTGAGTAGTGTTTTGATTCATTTGTGGGGTTTAATGTCCCAAAACCATCATATGATTATGAGAGACTCCGTAGTGGAGGGCTCCGGAAATTTTGACCACCTGGGGTTCTTTAACAGGCACCCAAATCTGAGCACACGGGCCTACAACATTTCCGCCTCCATTAGAAATGTAGCCGCCGCAGCCGGAATTCAGTCCTGCGACCTGCAGGTTAGCAGCAGAGTACCTTAGCCACTAGACCACCGCGGCAGGGTATATGAGTAGTGTTTTATTGATCGGGCTAGACAGCACAGTCTCAATTGAATAGCAGCCTGATGACAATGCATTTCATGGTGAATATGCCATCCCAAGTTCAGTGAAGCAGAGTTCATAGGTAGAGCAGAAGAGAAAACGGCGAGAGAAGGGATACACATGTATTACATAAGGCAGAAGGGTGATGCCTGCATCAGCATGCTGCTGCTCTTAGGTTGTTAGAATGAAAGAAAAAGAAAAAACTGTGATGCGCACACACATCAGCCTATGTATTGGCCGAGCTATAAAAACCTTGTTTGCACTGCGGAACAGAATTAGTTGGAAGTCGGTGCCTGTCCCGTTCCTTTGTGTTATGTGCCCTTGTTCAATGTGTACAAAAATGAGGCTACACGCTCTCGGAGCGGACGGACACAGGAGGCGCGGTTGAACCTGCCAAACATCGTGTACATTTATTCAATTACTTTTACATAGGCAAATATCATCAGCCGAATGAATAAATCGCTAGTGATCAGCACGCTATACAACCTTACGCACTATTCCTATACACTTGTGAACATAACAATAAACACTAGGTAACGTGAAGGTGGCGTTGTCAACGCTCAAGTCATCACGAGGGGCCCACAGGAGACGGCCCGTGGAGCCATTCCCATAGACTCACTGTGGCAGACGACTGTTTGCGCCAGACGCCTCTCACCAAACATAGACTCCCCAATCTTTTCTGTCTGACCACCTAGCCTCGCCGCCAGGCGTCACTGCTGGCACTACCACGCTAACCATAATGATGATCATGGTGAAGATCATGTCAGATCCACTTGCTGCTCAGCGACTGTTAAACTTAAATTCTCCTTATCTACGAAACACATGTGCGCCACGAGGTGCGAACGAGCTTGCAATGAGTGATGGCACCCTCACAACGTTTTCTCAGTTATGGACCAGAAAGCAAGAGAGAAATAAAAATATTTATTTGAAAAGAGAGGTGACGAGAGGTGTCCTTAGACCAGGATGACATAGCACAAGAGATCCTCGTATGCGAAGCGGCACTTTTTTGTCTTCAGAGTGAGTCCGGAGATGTTGGTCGCTTGAGGCACAGCTTTCAGGTGCCGGGGGTGTTCGTTGAAGGGCGAGGCAAACACGATGTGAGCCAAGTACACGAGGTACATATCCCACTTCATGCCAGCCAGTATTGTATCCATGACACGTTGGAAAGTTGCTGTTGCTGGGCAAAGACTAAAGGGCGTGACCTTTAACTCAAACAGGCTATATATAGTTATAAAGGCAGTCTTTTTCTCAGTCTCTCTCATCTACTTTGATATGCCAGTAGCCGGCCTTGAGGTTCATTTGGAAAGGGCGATGCAGTTGTACCTTTAAGAATAGCTTTCTGGTTCTTCTAGTGACGGCCCACAGAAGGTTGGTGGCTCCCTAGGTTCATGTAGCTGATTGATGTAGGGGCAACTGGAGTGGTCTCTGTTACTGTCAATGTCGAGATTGAGGTCTTGGGCTGTCTGATGGTTTCAGTAAGCAGCCTGTACTCTGGCGGGAGTTCCTTCTGCCTGTGACTTGTTAGGCAATTTGGGTTGTCGTTAGCATCTGTTTTTTCATGGCTTGGGCTTGGGTCAACGCTTCGCGGGGGTGTCTGGATCATGAACGAAACAGCACCTCCATCGGATGTCACATGGTCATAGGGTTGAAGGAGCCAGCAGTCGGCAGCATCAAGATGAAATCCTTTATCAAGTAAACATGTGCCTAAAAAATGAAAAGTCACTGTATAAGCAACATGTACTGTGCAGCTGTAGCGGTGAACAGACCGCTGGTTGTTGGCTAATTTGCCAAGCGGTAAAGCGCGTCTGATTTTGTGCATCTGCTGTAGAAGATTCTAGTGTTAATGTTGGTGGCTGGATAAGCTCCCAAATTGACTAGCCTGTTTGCGTTCTACATGCAATCTTAACAGAATGATCGTAATTTCGAAGCTTTTAAAGCATTGTGGTGAGGTGTGTGCTAACCATTGCTAAAGATCTTTGTGGATGAATTCAGAATACTTCAATATAAAAAAGCGCCTGGCTATATGCAGAAGAGATTCGGATTTTTTGCAGAAGCGGCATTTCAGAGTGAATTTTTTCGGGGCTGTGAAGTTATTTCTTTTTGGGTACGAGAACGTGCTGACCTGTAGAATGCGAGTGGTCTCTATAGCTCTCTAGGTAGTAAATTGTGTGCTGGGGGCATATTCTTCCGGCTAGTTTGTAATGCTGCATTATGTTGTGGAATGAGGCAGAGGGTGGATGCGCTTGGACCTGGCTTCTTCAGTATTGGCTCTATGGTTGAAACCTTGAGCTACGAGGCTTGCAATCTTTTTGCCAGAAATGCCGTAATGAGCTGGCACGCAGATGATCATAACTAGTCTCATTGGTGGTTTTTATTCAATAATTCTGAGCGTCTTATGTATTTAGCCAGTAGCCAGAAAGGAAAGACCTATGGACTGGTACTACAAATATGTCAGTGCTACCTATATCTCCTGCAGTAGACATAGAAGACGGCCACCAAGAAATTCATCTTGCTAAGCCTTGCTTTGTTATCCCTTTCCCTCTTCCTTCCCCTCATTCCACGTTCCATCCTGATCGTCGGACTTAGTGCTGGACTTGTCGGAGAGCAGCAGCCATGTTCAAGAGGCCTTTGTCATTGCGGTGGAGCAGCAGGCCCGCGAGCGGCTGGAGCGTCTGTCGGCGCTGCAGCGCATCCGGCCGGTCGACATGACCAAGCTGTCGCAGGAGCTCAACGCGGAGGAGCGCTCTTCCACGCCCTCGTCCCAGCAAGCGGGATCCAACGGCCTGCTGCTGCTCGCCTCCGAGGCCAGCCCCGTCTACGTGGCCTCCGTGCCCCAGCTCCAGAGGCTCCAGCGACACGGCTCAAGGGGTGAGCGTTCCCCCAATCAATAAGTTCCTTGTTTGAATCGACATCGCATTGGGGAGAGCATTGGTGCATTGTGTTTGACACTTCATGATGTAGATTGAAGTGTGAACACCCAATGCAACCACTGTAGTAGTAATTCTTGTCACGAGGAAGTGCAGTTTTATTTTACATCATTAATCTTTATTTTCCAATGGGAAAAAGGTGGGTTGACGAAGGGCCCGGAGTTCTTCTATGTGGCAGTGCAGTGAACAGTGATAAGAAATAGATGCATTAGTAGTACATCTAAAATTACGCAGTGGATTAGAGGTTAGCATTATACAACAGTTAGCAAGAAGCAGAAAATACGGTTCTGCTAATATTCATAAAAATTCATTAATACACACTAGATGCACATATGAAACTGAATAGAAAATATATACACTCACAGCTCCTTATAACAAAGTTGCATTTTAAACAAAAATGACCTCGTTAGATCCGAAAATTCGCTATAAAGGTATGTTCATAACATTGTATCTGTTGAAAGCCTGATCATCATTTACTTTGTTATAACCAATATTTCGTTATATCACAGTTTGTTACATCGAGGTTTGAGTGTAAATATGTTGTTGCATTGCAAAGATTTGAAATGTGTGTTTGATTGTGAATATCTTGGGAACTTAGTACTAACTATAATTTCTACACTATATGCCTTGTTACTCTAATAGCACCTCCATTTTTTTTTTATTTAATGCTGTTTTGTATGGCCAGACATAAAGGGGAACCTGTTCCAGCTTTACTTTTGTGGGTGTGGCATGGCTCTTGCACTTTTCTGGCTTTGTTGTTTTCTCTGGGATACAGAAAATGCAGTTGTGTCACTTGTTTTTGATTACAGTAGACTTTGAACAAATATAAATGTTTTGGTTGTCTTACTGCTATCTTGTGTGCGATTCAGGGCCAGAATATGCATGCTGGTATTTTAATTGATGATGAATTCCAATGGCAGACTGCGAGTGCTCGACAGTATCGTGGATAGAGCATGTCACGCTGACTGAAGTATCTGTCTTCAAATTAGCTGATGGAACGCGTTCGCTCCCACAGCGGCACACTTCTCAGCAAATCTGACCATTTTGGTAGAGCAAGTTTGGTTACTCCACGGAGCAATGCGTGTTTGGTGGCTGCTCGCAGCCTTTTATTGAAATAGAATTGCTCCTTGGAGAGCATAAAAATCTCGAGGTAGATCTGCCGAATAGAATGCAGCATAAAGCTTGTTTCTACGGGCAAAGTATTTGTAAAATGCCGTGGCATATAGTGAGCCAGTCATTATTATGAAGCACGGATTGATGAGGAGGTAGCCGACTCCAGAGAATGCTCAACAGAGCCATTGTACCTTTGCTGAACAGTGAGCGACAGTGTTTTAACTGATGAGTTGTGCTGAATGACAAATCTTGCCTTACTTAGATTTTTCAGTTATGTTATTTAGCATAAAATATAGCTGTTCTGCAATGTTAAGTGTAAGGAAATGCCACTTTTTGTTAGTTTTTCCTGGGAAGATATTCTGACCTATTTTAAATGCATGAGACTTGCTCATCGGCTGTTGGTTATTCATAATGGCTTGTGTAGCTGCGTGTCAAAATAGAGAATGCTTCATGTGAGAGGTTGCTTGGTGAAGTGAGAAAGCTTGCAGAAAGAAAATGCGGTTGGCACCGCCGCCTTGAAATTCCCGCACCAGTCTCCATGACGTCATAGACGTTGACAACTTGTACAAGAGCATACACTGTTGCTAATCAATAAAAATGAAGTACATTGTTTCATCATGGTTCCGGAGACTTAACAGACCAAGCTTCAGGAAATGTTATAATGTCTCCAAAATATGAAAGATACTCATTAAAATCCATGATTATTTTGGCAGGATATCTAAAGGTGAAGTGAATTTAAAGTCAAAGTGAAGATATTCTTCTGTATTATCAGACATACAATGGTGAAGTTAATAATGTCATTAGAGCTTTAAAAGTACAATTTATCAATTTAAACACTTCGGTGTTTCATCTCAGTGTCCCTTTACATGGTTTCAGACAATCGACAGTCTGATTGTAAGTCGACGGCGCCGGTAACTTTCGAGTTGTTGACGTGACCTGACCAGTGTGGCGCTCCTCCGATTGATGCAGGAGAGTCGGGTTTTCCCGAGAGCAAGTGCGCTGACCTCAGCCAACGGGCACGTGGCGCCCGTCGTCGCAGACCAGGAGCTCGAACTGACCCAGCAGCTGCCAGAACCCATGCTCACCTCACCCAACCCGCCCGTGCCCACACCCCGAAAGTCGCTCTCCCCACCTCCCGGCATGAAGGTGCGCAGTCTGCTTTTTCCATGGGATACCTAGCGCATGGCTTCGGCAGCGCAACTGTAACATTCTGTAGGGAACTTACCTACAGGTCCTTCAGCCAGAAGGCTCTGGTGACGTTGAAGTGGTGTTGTAATGCAAGATATTTTGGTATTTAGAATAACTGCCATTTGGCCTTGTTGGCATGCAGGATCTGTCCATGAATAATGAGGCTGGATCTGCTAAAAAAAGCTTTATTGATGCGGTCGGTACATAAATTTTAAGCTCTTTAAAGTAGTTTTGTTGACCCTCAATACACCGAATGAAACGTTGTTCCCACGCTGCAATGGCTCCCTGCTAGTCCGCTGGTCTAATATTAGGGCCCTAATACAACCCTGATGAAAGCCTGGCAGACTTCTTCTCGTTCCCAAATTTCAAGAGGAACCTGAAAGGTCACCGTTCCGACGGTGTTTCCGTCGTCCAATGAGCTAGAGTCGCTGAAAGAGGTCATGGCAGCCGACTTTCAGGGATCCTTTGCAGAGTGGCAATCACGTTGCGCTCTGTGTATTTATGCCCCAGGAAACCTTTTTGAAGAATTTCAATGATGTGTACTGATTGGATCAATACAATGTTTTTACCAGACCCAGTCTCGTTACTTACAGACAGACCCTAAGTTTGTGAAGGAAAGCATTTTGGTATATTTTTGCGTTCTAACATACCATTATACTCATGGCATGCTTCCCTTGTCATTTTCACTATTTCGATTGTCATACATTTTACAAACTTGAAAGCAGCTGCTTTTAAGTCCTCTACAATGCCATGTCTTGTTTGCGGCTGGTCAGTGATAATACTATAATTCACAATGTTCCTTAACTCTCCTTGGGTGTCTTTCGCTGTTGACTCTCAAACCATAAAAGCCCACATATTGTCATCATCATCAAGGCACAGAGGCATGTTATCCTGCGTTGCATCAGGAGGGTATGGGATGTCACATGCATTCCCTGCTTATCACGTGCGGGAGTGTGGGGGGAGCGTTATCTTAATGTCTGTGTCTTTATCTATGGATACCCTCAAGTAGCCTGTTCAGGCTGTTGTGTCTGACAGTGATGAAACTGCACCCTACTGTGCAGATAAATGGAGTGTCTTTTGTAAGACAAACTTGACGTGGAATCCAGTGTGGTATTGCAGAAAAAGAAAGAAAAAAAAAGAACAGAAAAATTTAAGTGACGTAGTGAAGCTCTGACGCTGTCAATGTCAGACATTCCACCAGCGTGACGGCACTACTGTCATGCTGTGACTCCTACATTTTTTTATGGAATGCACTCAGGTACATGTTGGGACATTGAAGTAGGGTCTCCTTGCGGTTTCATAAAACACAAACCTCCTAATTCAACTGAGGCCACAGAGACAGCAGTGAGGCATGGTTGCTTCAAATCGGCAGCCAGTGCAGCTGAAAGAAGCTACGTAAAATTGTTTGTAGTCAGCTGCGTGCCACAGTACGTATGTCAACATAAAGCAAGAGGGCTTTGTGCTCAATCTGTCTCAAGTGACTGATTGTAATGTGTGTGTTTTTTGTTTTTTGCTTGCCTTTTATCAACATTTTCACTGCAAAAGGCCAGAGGTTGTCATATTAGAGGCAGAATAAAAAGATGAAATAACATTTGTGTGTGTGTGTGTGTATGTGTGTGTGTGTGTGTGTGTGTGTGTGTGTGTGTGTGTGTGTGTGTGTGTGTGTGTGTATATATATATATATATATATATATATTGTGGGTGTGTGTCTTGGTAATACTGCAGAAACACACAAACAGGAAAGTTTAAAGAAGTGCTTGTGTCAGCACAGATTAACTCTGAATCGAGCAACATTCAGAAACAGTAGAAATTGATGTGGAAAATAATTTCACTTGTTTTCAGTTTAAGTGAAATTGTTTCTCTCTTTATGTGTGTGTGTTCTTTCTGGCAGTGTTCCTTTTGACTCGCTGTACGCTGCTAGAGTACGGTATCGTACACACTGACTTAAAGCTGAGTAATGCGCATACTTTCATATCCAAAGTCGTCAGTTCATATCGTATTGCTGTAATTTCAGCTCTGAACACTTGCGTTGAAGCCAGTATTGCCTTTAATGGCAGATTCGTAGCAAAGTCACATAGCCATGTCAAGCAACTGGGCACATCAGTCATTATAATAAAAAAAATGCAGGAGCTCTTCTCCTGTAGAGGAAACGGGTCAACCAAAGCTTTAGGTTTGCGTGTCTGACGCACTACTATTCTTAATTTTTTTCTATCGCATTGTCCAGTGCTTCCTTTTGAGTCCCTCCTCGATGCTGCGGTTGAGATTTTATTCCACCTGCTTAAAGGCACAACGATTCAGTTAGCACAGGCAACAACAACAGGTGTTCGTACCTAGGCGACTATGAAATGTGGCCACGGGAAATGACAAGCCACCTCGATAATAGATGGGATTGTCATATCTGCTGATCACCAACAAGCCCATGATTGATGTAGCATTAATTATTGGAAAATGACCCATGAAAATACACATATGACCTGCACACCTTTTAGGGGTGCATTTTTGTATACTAGACACTGTTGAGTTTTTTATAACAGCACAGCCAAAATTTGCAAGTCATAACAAGCATCACTTCAAAGCATCTCCAAATAGTGAACTATCACGCACTCAGGCACATGGTTTCCAGCCATGATGAATGAGTCACTAGATACCGATTGCAATTTTAAAAAAACGCGATGCGAGGTTTTAGTGCTAGTACTCCCTTAACCAAATTTGCCATAAGGATGCATTCCAGAAGAGTAAATTTCCTGTTGCCACCACTAAAATTTGTGAGTTGTGGTGTTTCGATCATGAGAACTGTACACTGCCGGCTTTGTGGGGCTACCAGGGAAAATGGAGGATTCCAGGCATGTTCTCGCGCGGGGCCGATCTAAAATAGCTTTGCCTTGGTGCTGTCGTACCTGCCAGGGTCCAGCCGAGGTGGAGACGGGGCAGTCTCATCGCGAGATGGCCGTGGACGTGCCCGAGTCTTTTGTGGCGGTGGCCAAGACCGCGCCGCGTTATCCGCCGCCTCCAAGGCCTCAGGGCTCTCCCCGGCTCAACGGATCGGCAGCTCCAACAGGAGACCAGTTGGAGCGAATCCGAAAGTATCAAGTGAGTTTACACTGACAATACATTTGTTTTGATTGTAAAAAAATGGTTCTTGATTCTTCTATTCTTTTTCTGTATAAATGGCCTACTTCTGCATGTATTCTGCAATGTGCAGTAGACTCTAATTAAGCGGAATCAGAAGAGATCAGAGAAGGATGTTCCATTTAACAGTAGTTCTATTTACTGAGAAATTAACTGGGGTGAAGAATTTAAATAGTCAATCAATTGTATTTTGGGCAGTTGTTTCAATTAAGCAGGAGTTTCACATCGGAGATTTTAGTTTATGGAGAGTATGCCATACATATGTTCACTGATGAATTTTTTCATTATGCAAAAGCAACTGGCTTATTAATTGGCTAGTCAATTATGCATCACCAGCTAGTTCTCCACCAATCGATTGCTCCTTCAATGTCGCTCATGGATAGATAGCAGTGCGTGAAGCTGTGCCTTCGATTTCCTAGGAAGAGCTGCGGCTACGCAAAGAAGAAGAGGAGCGGCTAGCGCAAGAGCAGGAGTTCCTGCGGTCGTCGCTACGGGGCTCCAAGAAGCTCCGTGCCTTGGAGCAGAACGCCCCAGAAGGGATCCTCAACGCCGCCTTTGAGACAGAGGACACCTGCTCCTTCGGCGCTACCCTGCCTTCGGACGCCCGCCTCCTGCCTGTGAGCCCACACAAGCCTCCCAGCCGCATTTACGGTGAGGTCCCGTCCTTTCACGCTACAAGTTCAGAGGGTGCATAGACTACTGACCACTAGCGTAGCTGACGAAGGGCAGGTAAAGGCTTGAGGGTTCATGTCCCCCCCCCCCTCCCTACCCATGAAAATTTTAATTTCTACACGTGTACATGAACACGTACAAATGCATGCACGAAGAGATGTAGAGTGGTTCAACCCCCTCCCCCCCCCCATCCCTAAAAAAAAAAAATCTGCAGCCTGGGAAAGAGTGGAGAGGCATGGCCTCCTGATTCCAACATGGGAGCAGCCAGCTGTAAACAGACAACTGTAATGAAATAAGGCTCCTTGATTACTATGGATGGAGCCCCTAATTCAGGGCCCCACTGGCTGTTGTCGCCTGCCGGTCCTGGTCAAGGGATGCCAGTTGGCTTCCCAACTCCAGTTCATACCACTCGCAACCAGTTAAGTATGGCCTTAACTAGTGGTGAAATAGCATCTGTCAAATGCTGTGTGCTCTGGTACTGTTACTGTGTCACAAGATAGTGTTTTTTGGGAAGTATCTTGTGAAGTCTATGTAACAAGGTCAATGTTAGTGTGGGCAGGTGTTTGTCTGTACTCGGCACCGCTGTCTTGGCCGTCGAGTTTGGGATGAAGTGGGACTTGAGTTCGCCTTCCCAGTCTTTGTGCTTCGATTATGCCTCTCGGTGTGCTTCCTTGTGTTGCTGGGTCGTCTGTTAAAGCTGCATGTATCATGGCTTCTAAAACTGTAGTGTAGCTAGAGCGTCCTCGTAATCCAGACAAATTACAGTTCCACAGTGCATTCGCAGTACGGTGGCACGTAAAGGAACATAATCATGTTGTAATGTCAAGGAACAGATTATGTGTTAAAGCCTAATTACTGCAAGGCAATGTATATTTAGCTGGTCTCTAATGTAGCTTTACATGTAACAATGACCTACACACAGTCAGTAAAACTCACAGTTATTGAGTTTTACTTGGTGACAATCAGCAACAGAGATTGTTTGATACGCTTGGAACAGTTTCTCAATAGAAGAGGGAGAACATTATTGCATGGCTATGTAAAGTGATAGATGTACAGTATGCGGAAAAAGCACCTGTTACGTTGCAGGTCTTACGCAAAAGCTGGATGAATTCTAATGCAGTCAATGACGGCCGTGAGTGGAAGAGTACAGCATTGCATTTGGCACGCGTGCTACCCATGGAGAGGCGTTAAATCCAAACTGCAGACTGTATGTTCAGGTGGCAGATGTGGCCGACTTTTTTACAGTAGCATTTCGTGAAGTCCACACTTTAGGTACTGTCGATACCCAGAATGTATACCTTGATGCTTTTACGATTCCCTAATTTATTTGTCAGTTTTATTCTGATGACAGAAGAAAAAAAAACAAGTACCGAATGTGCACCTGGGAGATCACTGCTCAGACCTTGTTGCAGTTGCGAATGCTTGCCGCTGATGCCATCCCCTAATCATTCCTCGCTGTCCTTGGGTGGCGCTGCATGTGCAGAAGCTCACGAGTTGGAGCAGTGCCTCAAGAGGCTGGAGCCCCTGGATGATGCGGGCTCACTAGCGTGCGTTGCCAACCTGCTGAAGGAACCGGGCTTCCAGGGGGCGCTGGCCGTCAGCAACAACGTCCAGCAGGCCTGGTGCTACCAGAGGCCACCCACCCCCGTCTGCTCGAATGCGCAGGACTTGGCTCAAGAGGTGGCTGCTCTGGCTCCTAGCTGGCTCCTAGCATACACAAGGGGGAGACAGGCTAGGTTTATTGATAGTCACCATTTCAGTCTGTTCAGTCTGGAAAAGGGCTTTGCACACAGAAAATAAAGACGGTACATTTAAGAAATTAGCACAAGCGTTGTTGTGCTCACTGCCGTTGCGCTCTTGGCTCACCGCTGTCAGTGCACACTGCCCACATACCGTAAAATCTCTGCAGAATGAATCACAAAGGATCACTATTGGTTGTTTCTTATTTTGAAAAGTCGCTGTTGTTGGAGACGGAAATGTTGTAGGCCATTGTGCTCAGATTTGGGTGCACGTTAAGAAACACCAGGTGGTCAAAATTTCCGGAGCCCTCCACGATGGCGTCTCTCATAATCATGTGGTGGTTTTGGGACGGTAAACGCCACATATCAGTCATATCAATCAAAGTCGCTGTTGTGAAAAATAAATGAAGAGTTTGCACTAAAATCGTAAATGCTACTAAGTAAGTCATGTACCTTCGCTGGGTGTACTCACGCAATGGCGTTACTCTCTAATAAGTGAAAAAGAAAAAAAGCGAGGTATTATGAAACGAGTGCATGTTTATTTGAAAAGCTTCCCTCATGGAACGAGTGCATGTTTATTTGAAGAGCGTGATGTTTGCCTGACAGGTGCAGCTGAACCTCTGCAAGAAACTGTTTCGAAGTGCACGTCCTTTTTATGCACTCCGAAACATTGGCATTAGGTACCGATTCTTCGTGTTCGTTTGCACTCGATGTTTTCTCGTCACCTTCACTCTCATCGCCCTTGTTGCCGTTTTCTTATTACGACATATGGCGTAAATTTTGTCAGTCGTCAGCTCAGCAGATGTGCACCCTTTCTCGTCACGCCATGTGTAGTGTTGAAGTGTTAGGCGAACATGCACGAGGACTCTTTGGCGACTTCACTGTATAGGTAACTCGCGTTGAATTTTTCACTGTGAGCGCTCCTTTCCTGCTGCTTCCGGAGCCCATCGTGAAAGTACAAACACCAAGCTGAAGGCGAGCAAAACAGCCATGCAATAAGCATGCAGACAAGCGGCCTGACAAAACAAAGGCAAGCAGGTGAAGCTAGCGAAGCCTGATGCAAAAACAAGTGCAGGCGATGGTTATGGCTGTAGGACTGTCACACATTTAGAATACGGCAGGTGCATTGAGTAATGGGAAGGCGTTCTGAGGATCACTGTAGTGACACGCACAGAGTTAGGTATTGCTTACACTGCTGCGAGTAACTTTTTAAATTCACAATTCATTATCTTGATGAGGTGTGTTATTGAAATACACGGGCGATAAAATTCTAGACATTATTTTAAAACATTGGTTGAGTGAAATTTTATAATTGGATGAAACAACCTTATTGATTGTCCGGCATAGTGGAATATTTTTATATTAAACCAGTGGACGTTTGGAGGTGGATTTTCACAATAGTTGTTAGTATGAAAGAATTGTTAATCTCAGGGTCGCTAAAATGAGATTAGACTGCGGTACCAACTATGGTGACCAGGTAACTGTGGTATTTACTGTTGAAAACGAGGTTGTGGGTTTCATGTCAGATAGCAGCAGCCGCATTTCAGTGGTGGTGAAATGCAATGTTGTGAGTGTACTTTTATTTAGGTGCACGTTACAGGACTATGGGTGGTCAAAAATATTAATCTCTGCTCGCCACTATGATGTCCCTCTTAACCAAAGCAGGTTATTAAGCCCGATAAATCATACATTTTGTGGTGTCTCCGCAGGTGCTGTCCCTACTAGAAGGCTGTCCCTTGGCTGAGGCAATGCAACTTCAAGACTTTCTGAGCCGACTAGACGTAGATGGTTTGCTACTGAGCCACGACCGCATTGCGGCACGCTGCGGAGCGTCGCCACGCCTTGCGCACTCTCCGCCTGGCCCCGGAGGCGCCCATGAGGCCCTGGACAGGGCATCTCACTACTCGGAGGATAGCATCAAGATTGTCCACATTGACAAGACTAACGAACCACTGGTGAGACAGCGACCAATGACTAGTCTTGGTACAACTGCATTATTAGTCTATGTGTACAGTTAAACGGTCACGGGAGAAAGAAAAACTCGCACCGAGCTAACAAGTTGAAGGCAAGATGTTTCAGCTTCCATACAGAAGCCTCATTCACTGGAAGCCTTGGTCAGTTGAACAAGCCTCACATAGTCAGTTCTTTCTATTGTCTTCGTGTGTGTGCCCTGTATGAAGATGAAACTGTGCATCTTGTCAACAAAGGCTCCCTGGTTGCTTCCATAATCCCTTCTGGGCTGTTGCTAATATGCGTTAGCCCCCCTTCCCCACTCCAAAAAAAGTGTGCTGCCAAGGCATTCGGATGTTAGATTTGGCTCTCCCGTGCAACAGTTCAGAAAGTGCCTGTTTACAAGGTCTATACCAACTAGCCCAAGGTTGCTACGCTGCGAAATTGACACGTCTTGGCTTTTTAAGTTTGTATTTGGCCGGCGTTTATATGTCAGCTTCAAGTTTCGTCCTGACCAGATGAGCTTCCATCAAACTCTCGAACAAGCAGTCCCCGTGCACACCTTCGGTCCTTTATATCGATTACTTCAATGCATTGTAATGCATTTACTGGAACATTGTAATAGCATAATTATTTTTTGCCAGTTGGCCATTGGAATTTGACGGCTTAACTCTGGCTCTTTCTTGCAGGGTGCAACTGTCCGGAACGAAGGGGAGAGCGTCATAATCGGACGGATTGTCAAAGGTGGCGCAGCCGAGAAGAGTGGTAAGAAATTCTTTGTACTATGGGACACTCGTGCCTGAAGAGTTTGTGCAACTCACTCGGTGGATGTTCTTTAGCGCGTTCACTCAACCAGCTGTCCTTGTAAAGAGACCACCCCTGTTCCGCCTCTCTCAGTGCTCTCTCGAATTGAAGCTGCAACTGGGCTTTAGAAAAGTGTCTCCCAGAGAAATTTACCACCGCACGCTTTAGTGAATGAGGCGTCTAGCCATGATAAGCAGGTTATTATAGTTTATTACAACCTAAGAAAAGATATAAACTCCGCCCACAGAAACACGGTGCATCTGCCTTTCACCTGTGACAGGCACTCATGCTATCTGATTTGTGCTCAAACCACTAGTACTTTTTTTCGGCTAATGCAAGTGCTACGCATATCAAGAGTTTAAGGTTCGTCCTTACCACCTGAAGCATTACGTTTGGCTGAATGGTTATGGCAGAATCCTTGACAAAATTTACCAGGACGTTCAAGTTTCCCATCTAACCAGCAACACAAGCCTGGGTTGCATGGAAAAGTCAACTATTTGAAACACACGAGAAGGGCTTGACTTCATGAAATTGAGTAAGCACTGTCTAAAGAGACATTTATGCACATTCTTGTGAGAGAGGCAGTGATGACTGTGGGTCGATTTGGAATTTTTTCTCGCGTTGTAAGCGACTCTTCCTCTTGACTGCAACAAAGAAAGCCGGATTTGAAGTTTTAAGTTAGTTTGACAAACATGCCACTAGGATGCGTACTTGAGTAAGTTTTCTTTTCTTTGCTTCCTTTTGCAGGCTTATTACACGAGGGTGATGAGATCCTGGAAGTGAACGGTATCGGCATGCGTGGCAAGTCGGTGAATGAAGTCTGTGACCTGCTGGCAACAATGACCGGCACCCTCACATTCCTGATAGTGCCATGTAACCAGGAGACCATCGTGCCTCGCACCACGGACACCGGCATGATCCATGTCAAGGTGATTATTCAGCAGTTTTACCTCCTGCGGGCCAATACGTTCATGAGGTCTCAGATTTCTAAACTGTTTGCAGTGAAATTCCGCGAGACTCATGTCTTCGCAACACCCGTGTTTTCACAGGAAACACGCTTTCTGCCACCACACGCGCATCCTGGTAAATTTTTTCCCATTGAGATGCCCGGCGACAGATGGCCCATCCGTCATGGTGCTGCTGGTGGACTTCATGTGCGTGTGGGCTGTAGTAGCATTGTTCAAGAACTCCCGTCATGTTTTGGATTTAGCCTCAAAGCAAAACTACCGCTCATCATCACTAACCCCACAATTGGAAATGACAGCCATGCTGGCAGCGCATGCGCTGCCAGCGCACACTTAGTTGAAATGTAACTACATTCTGCCGCAGCCGCTGACACAAATGCGATTGTGTCGATGCAATCAGGGCGACCACGAAAGTATGTGCGCATTGAATGCACACCGTTTTGAATAAATGCTGCTTGCCGCAACGCTGCGGACAAAACCGCTGTAGCACGGGTAGATCACGGGTAGCAAAGATGCAGTTCTGAAGGCACACACGGCCAATGCGCACAAATTGGAAACGTAAATGCCGCTCACTGCAACCGCTGCGCAAGAAATCATTATGGCTTTCCTATCGTTTGCTTATGGCTGTGGCAGTGCCGAGCTTCGACAGTTAGTTTTCAGGTGGCCTCTCACTAAGCTATCGCACGGAGTGCTGGGCACTCGGCACACTTCGGGGTTAGTATGAATATGGTATTATTCTCGTGTGTAATCCCCCCTGCATATAACTGGCATCCGCGACCACGAGTGTCACCAGTATTCCATCTTGGGGGTGCAGGCCCATGTTGCATCATGGTTGGAATAGGCAGGAGCTCTGGTGTAGGTCAAGTCAGCGGGAAGAAGTGCTGGCATGACTGGCAAGCCGGTATTTAAGCCAACTTGTGCACTCGAAATTCACTTATAACCCGCACCCAGAGTTTAACTTTAAATTTTTTGTGGGTGTTTGTACGCGAAAAGATACGTTCACTGGGTGTGTGGCCAAGCAAGTCTCAGTTAGCAAGAGTTCAATGCATGCATTTGCTGGGACCAAAAATCGAGTCATAGTCATCAGATCTTACTTAGTTTTGTGGTGTATAGATGAAATTTTGCAACAAACTTTTTCGCGCATCCCGTCAGTTTCATTGCAACGGGATTTTACTGTAGCAAGGAAATCATAAACAAAGAGAAACAGCATTACCAACAAGGATGCAATGCATTTTTATTGTAATCCGCAAACAGTGCACAAATTATTACTGTGTACTGTGCATCGCCTCGTCATGATGTCTACGATTTGGCAGAAACTGGTCTGCCAATAAAAGAGCATGCCTGGTGAAAACGTAAACGTTTATGCTTTCTTTGCAATCATTACTTTACAGGCCCACTTTGACTACGAGCCGGACGAGGACCTGTACATTCCGTGCCGAGAGTTAGGCATCCCATTCCAGAAGGGTGACGTGCTGCACGTCATCAACCGGGACGACCCAAACTGGTGGCAGGCTTACCGCCAAGGCGAGGAAGACCAGACCCTGGCCGGCCTCATCCCTTCCAAGTCCTTTCAGCAGCAGTGAGAACTTGCCTTCTGTTTTGCACACGCGGTCGAATCGTGGGAAACAGATTTCTTGCTACGGAACAGCTTTAGCGGTTCTGTATTTGTGTGCTGCATGCCACCGTATCTCTCGAAGTACCGTATATACTCGTGTAAGGGCCGCCCTCGTGTAAGGGCCGCACCCCAACTTTGAAAGCGGATATTTCGAAAAAAAAAAAAAAAACAAAAGTTCAAAATGTCCCGCCAGAAAAGTGTAGTTAGTTCATTTACAGCCAGATGGCGCTGCACGCTTTTCCGCTTTTATTCTACTTCCGCCGACGCGCCGACCACGCTGTTGACAGCGCGCCGCCATATTTGCCTTGTGCGGCCTCTTTGTTGGCATCGTTCCTAGCATCGTGTCGATACGTTGGCAGCGCGACTTCAGATCGGTGTCGTCGGTGTCACTTTGTTGGTTGTAGTGAACCCTGCAGAAGCCAGCGCACGTGACGGACGATGGGCCGGCATCTGAGATCATTCACTGCAGCATTTAAGCTGCAAGTGATTGACTATGCCGAGGAGCACGGGAAGCGGGAAGCTGGACGAAAGTACGACGTCGATGAGAAGCGCGTGCGTTACTGGATGAATCAGAAAGATGCCCTCGCCGCTACTAACAGGAGCCGAAAGGCGTTTCGCGGGAAAAAGTGCAAGTACCCGCAACTCGAAAGCGAGCTCGTCAACTACGTCGTCGACACACGAAGGGACGGCTACGCCGTATCGACTGACATGATACGCGTCAAAGCCCTCAGCATCGCTCGCCACATGGAAATACCCCCGGCACAATTCAAGGCAAGTCGGGGCTGGGCTACGCGGTTTATGAACCGTAACCAGCTTTCTATTCGGCGCCGAACGACGATTTGCCAAAAACTGCCGCGCGAGTACGAAGACCACGTCATTAAGTTTCATCGCTTCGTGAATGCTCTCAGGAGGGAGCATGAATACGACCTGTCCCAAATTGGGAATGCGGACCAGACACCTGTGTGGTTCGATGCACCGGAAAGCACCACAGTGGATTTAAAAGGTGCGAAAAGTGTGTCTGTGCGCACGACTGGTGCAGAACGCCAAAGGTGCACTGTGATGTTGTGCATCACGGCAGACGGCAGGAGGCTTCCGCCGTACGTCGTATTTAAAAGGAAGACTCTCCCAAAAGAGAAGTTCCCTCAGGGAATCGTCGTACGTGCGCAAGAGAAGGGCTGGATGTCCGAGGAACTGGTCGTTGACTGGATTAAGACCGTCTGGGCAAACAGACCTGGAGGGCTGTTACAACGGAAAGCCCTCCTTGTTTTGGACAGCTTTAGGGGCCACTTGACCGACCGCGTCAAGAACCGAGTTGCCGCAACTCGTACGGACTTGGCCGTCATTCCCGGTGGCCTGACGAGTGTGCTGCAGCCGCTCGACGTATGCGTCAACAGACCATTCAAAGTGGAATTTCGCCGATGTTACTCTGAATGGATGGCTGGAGGCGTCCACGAGAAGACCCCTACAGGACGGCTGAAGCGGGCGTCGCTCCAACAGGTGTGTGAATGGATTTTGAATGCGTGGCGTGCCATGTCAGTAGAAGTAGTTGCTAAAAGCTTCAAGGTAACGGGAATTTCGAACTCCATGAACGGCACCGAAGATGACCGTCTCTGGGAAGACGCGGACGCCGAGGCGAGCTCCTCCGAGAACGAGGACAGCGAAATGGAATCCGAATAAAAACATTTCTGGCATGTCATTTGTGACTCTTGCACTCTGCTACTGTTGCATAAACAGTACAGACCTTTGGCCTGTACTGCCTGTACTAAATCGGCCTGATTCGTGTAAGGGCCGCACCTAGCAAAATTTTCGAAAAAAAAGTGCGGCCCTTACACGAGTATATACGGTAGTTGAAACTGGTGTAGAGTGCCTTCCCTTTACTTAGTCCCTTCAAGTTCTGTTCATTGAGGTACTTCGTTTACATCGATACTGTACTTCGTTTACGTACTCTGCACTAGAGTGTGATCTCATACATGTTCTGTGATAAACGTTCTCTTGCGTCGCACAAGATTGGTCAAGACTAACATGTATGGTCAGACGTAAAAACAGCAACCAGAAAAGGCAGTGATGTTAATTATCATTTTGCCATTTGGTAGGCAAAGAAAGGACGGAGACACTTTCGTCTGACAGAGCGGATTAAATGGTGTCTGGACTACTTGGATTGGATCAAAACGTAGGCACTTTGACTTGAGAAGAAAATTAGCCTGCTCTGTGTCCAAATGCTTAATAGAAGCCTTTGCTAACAGTTCGCAAATATGCCCACCAGCGCCACTATAGAACTTACCTAGTTTCGCAAGAATGTCTTGTGAAATTGCGCCACCACCTAGTGTGGAATCAAGATATTGGCACAACTAAATTGTAAACCTTGTTGCACTCTTCAAGTTCAAGTTTTCGTAAACAGCGTCGTGAACTATTTTTAAAATTTATTTTTTTACTTATTTATTTTAAGACGGGAAGCTATGAAACAAGCCTTGGCTGGCGGCGACACGGGGTCGAAGGAGAAGACCAAGCGAGGTACGGGTTCTCTACTTTCCCGCAGCGAAAGTGCAGGCGCTGACAGTGTTTGCACTTTCTTGTCTACAGGAAAATTTCTTTGTGCCAAGAAACACCACAAGAAGAAGAAGAAAAAGAGCAGCAGTGCAACTGGTACTTTGAGCGACGGTAAGTTGCGCCCCACTGCTCACACAGGTCTCTGAAACATGACGACCTGCTAATGACCTGTTTCAAAGCTGCAAAAGCATGGGAAATGGAGAGACTTTATTATTTTGAAGTCTGGTTATTTATTTTCTTGCTAATGTGGAGCTGAACGAAATGGAACCTTGTTTTTTTCCCCCTATCTTGCTGGCGTACTGCATAGCAAGGGTCTCACCTTTGTCGGCCTCTGTGTTTGATGTGTTGTGTACATGTGAGGGTTTGTTTTGCAGTCGCCTACCCCTGTGCTTCCTTGGCTCCACTGGTTGAAAAAATAGAGAGAGATATTACAAGCTTTAATGATGTTTAATACAAGCTTTAAGCCTGAGTTACAACCTAGCTTGTTACTCCAAGGTTTTGGTTGATAATTCCCTACTGCCGTGCTCAGCGGCAAAGCCAGGTGGTGGCGCACTGTGCACCTGAGATTTCTGACAAATCTCCTGAAATTTCTTTCTGCCTTTAAACGTGGAGCACGAAATTACGCTCGGCCACACTTGCCTGCTCGGTCCCGGCTTCAGATCAGGGACGTGTCGAAACCCATCTCTGCCTATGCCACTAGTCCATTGATTTTGAGTGGTTTGGAATTACGCATTCGTACCTTTACTCACAAAAGTGTGGTGTTGTGAGCGTTTTCTGTATGTTTCTGACGGCCCGGCAGCCATGAAAGAAAATAGAAAGATGGGCGAGTCTGTACAGCTTGACCGTCTTAAACTGTAGGACGTGTAAAACGGAGCGCAGGAGTGCTTCACTCTTTTCTTGCGGGGTGTTGGGATCCGTTCTGTTCTTTTTTGTTGGAGTATAGGAGGAGCACTATGTTTTTCCTCGCAAAGCCTTGGGCTGCTTATAGTACCCTAGCTCAGTCCCATAGCCAGAAAGAATGCCCTAGCCCCCCCCCCCCCCCCTTAAAATTGTTTCATGGAGGGAGTGTTTTGCTGAAAGCAAGTTAATGAAAAATGAAAATCGGCTTCTTTTTCAAATAGTCAAAGCTTTCAGCAAATGCTCCCCCCCCCTCCCCCCCCCAAAAAAAAATTCTGGCTACAGGTTTGCCTTGGTTACATGGGCACGCTAACCTCTGCTAGCGAGAGTAAAGTTACTGGCAACTGCAGTAGCACATGTTGCATAGGAGTCCTTAGTTGGGGGCTTTGAAGCAGGTCACTGAATAACATTATAAACATTTTGTTGCTTTTCGTAAGTCGGCAAATAAAGCGAAATTTTTTCTTTCAAAATAAGTCTTTTCTGCTTGCATCTGTAGTACCCGAGCGTATTCGGTGAAGTGCTTTGGCAATACATTGCATAAGTATTCAGCATAAGGGGCAGTTTGGTGCGTAGGGGACGTGTGTCGACTCGTTGACGTATGGCCATGAATTAACACACGCAGAGTCCGAAGCAAACGAGCCAGTGCCAACGTACGAAGAGGTGTCGCTCTACTACCCCCGTCCCAACTGCAAGCGGCCCGTGGTGCTTGTTGGACCGTCCAACATAGGCAGGCACGAGCTCCGCCAAAAGCTGATGGAGGACACGGAGCGCTTTGCCGCCGCAGTTCCTCGTGAGTGTCTTGCAAGATCAAGGAAGCTCGTACGAATAATCTAGAATTCGTGTTTCACCCGTCACTACGAAAGGAAAGGCGAGGTCTGGGCCTTAGAGGTTGAAATAAAAAAAAAATTGTGGAGTGGAAGCCTTCAAAGGTATTAGCAGCAAATGTGAAGCCAGCATTCGCCTGCAGTTCACAGTGAAAGCATGGTTTTCTCATGTGATACTCGATCAAAGATAAGGTGCTTTTGTTCCGCTAACATAAAAACTAGCCTAAATATACGAAAAAGAGATCACTGTTCCATACAAAAGTAATATACAGTCATTATAGGATTTTTTTGACTCCATAAATTCAGACTTAATGAACATTTTTGACTTCATAAATGTATTGTCAAGTTTTTTTTTTATAGAACTAATGCATTTTCATGACCGATGTTTCGGACGTATTGACGTTAGAGTTCAATTCTCCACACAAAATCACGCGTTTTGAGTCACGCCCTGTGCTCTTATTCCTGTTATATTGTGGATTCAGAGCGAGCGATAATATTCATTGCTAACTAATAAAAACTCTTTTCACAATGCCGCTCTTCTACTATTGGCTACGAGTTTGGTGATAAGGTTGAATGGCACGGCTACTTTGGCTACGTTTAGCTTGAGTACTGACTCTTTTTTAAACCTACCCAATGGCAATCTTGCGCACATTTGTGGTTACCGTTTCGCCGCATGTGGTCTTGTTGGCAGTGGTGTCAAGTGTGTCTTTGACGCATTGCACGCATCAGGTTTTCTATGCCCCTGTGGCTGCTCTGCTGTTATGGTGCTCGGCTGCTGACCTGTAACATGTGGTCAGATTTCGATGAAGGCATCCCACAAACCGTCCAGCTGATACGTTCTGTGCATCTATTGTTTCTGGCTTCCAGTATTGTATGCTTGGTGCCAGGACCACCATCTGTGCGCTCTCACAACATTCGGCTGCAGCGATCACCAACAGGCTGACCTCAATAAAACCCAAATGTAAACAAATCTGCCCGTCCCCAAGTGTAGCGTGCAGCAGGAAATTAGTTCAGATTTTTTTAGGCTTCTCTGATACAAATAAACTTTCAATTCAATGTCTTCACAACTGTTTTGGACAGTTCAATTTTTCAGACAACTTGGCAATCCTCACCACTATGGAGCAGAAACCTGGAGGCTTACAAAGAGGGTTCAGCTTAAATTGAGGACGACACAGCGAGCGCTGGAAAGGAAAATGATTGGTGTAACCTTAAGAGACAAGAATAGAGCAGAGTGGATCAGGAAAAAAACTGGGGCTAAGGATGTCATAGTTGAAATTAAGAAGAAGAAATGGACTTGGGCCGGGCATGTAGTGCGTAGGCAGGACAATCACTGGTCATTAAGGGCAACTAACTGGACACCCAGAGAAGGCAAGCGGGTAAGGTGGAGACAGAAAGTTAGGTGGGAAGATGAGATTAGAAAGTTTGCGGGTACAAATTCGCAGCAGCAAGCACAGGACCGGGTTAACTGGCGGAACATGGGAGAGACCTTTGTCCTGCAGTGGACATAGTCAGGCTGATGATGATGACCATGTAAAAAGAAAAAAATCGGTCGGCAACAGTATCTAGATGAGTGTTAATAACACGATCTTTACCCAAATTTCCCAGGACTGCACACTTCTTAAGGAAAAGAGTAACTCTAAGACACCTGTAAAGTACTATCTGTCCAGAATAATTACCGATACTAAATCCTTATGGTGTGGGAGGCAAATGCTGCTTTTCTTCGCTGTATGCTAACCTTTTACCATGCCTGGAGTAAGACAGTGGTCTGGTTTCTTTTCCCAAGCATAATTTCCACTCAAGCAGTTTTTATTTTTATACCTCTTTGATCTGGTCTGAGAAGTAGAAATTTGGGAATGTTGACAAGCATCATTGAAGTTGCAGGCAACTTGAGACTTGCACTGGTTTTTCCCAACGCATTACAGAAATCAAAATTCTGTAAGCAATCTCTTCCTTTTTTTTGTGCCTTGCATGAGATTCATTAGTAAGATAACATGATGAAGTATTAGGAATGACAAACACTTTTTGTAGATCTTCCAAGTCTAGTTGCCAGAATCTACTGAGCAGTCTTTTTTGTGGCTCCAAACTAAGACATCCTGAAAAAGGTAGACGCATGCAGTTAAAAAGCAGTGCTCATTTATACTCGTTCTCCTATTTATTGTTTCACTTTTATGCATTGCTGCGCCTATACAGTGCTATGAAAGTGTGAAATCCACTTTATGTACTCGTGTTAGTAAAGTGATAGCCTAATAATGTTTTTTTTTTTTTTAGTCTGGTGCGGAATAGACCCTTTTTTTAATTGTAAAGCTGGTTTTTTTGCAATGCACTTAGCCCAATCAGTGGCAGTTGGTAGTTTCTGCAAACAGCGCCTTCGAGTGTAGTTTGCTTGCGTTACGACATGGAAAACGTAAAGTCAGCTCTTGTGATATTATCATGCATATTAGATAAGCTCCAGTACGTGCAGCTGGTACCTTATCTTCATTTTAAGCATGACTAGTTCAGTCATTATAGTTGCGAAAATGTGCACTGCAGGGAAGCGCACTTGCAAATTATGAAAAGGACCTAGAATGAGGCAATTTCACAATTAGCTTGTGCTTTTTCAGTAGCGAGCTCTCATTGAGAAGCGAAAAGGGTCCTTGCTAACTCCAGCGACTTGCCATTTGTCTTTGCCAGACACCAGCCGGCCGCGAAAGGATTCGGAGATAGATGGGGTAGACTACCATTTCATTAGCCGGCCCCAATTCGAAGCCGACATCCTGGCCGGCAAATTTGTGGAGCACGGCGAATACGAGCGTAACTACTATGGTACCAGCCTTGACGCCATTCGGAGTGTCGTGAACTCGGGCAAGGTCTGCGTACTCAACCTTCACCCACAGGTGAGGCATGTGCGTCCGCCTTGCGGACGTTTGTGCGCAATCGTGATGGCTCGGAGCCTCTGCTGCCACCAGCGGGCGCAGGCCAACATGCCCCTAAGAACTCTTGGATTCGGTTTAACGGTACGATTCCTTGTGGTACGGCTGTCATGTGATGGGCACCTTCTAAACCACCTCAAAGTTCGAGAGGCTGTTGCATGCTCTTTCTACTCTGGGCTTTCTATATCCTCTTTGTGGACATAGGTTGCAATGCCATGCATGCGGTGTCACTGTCATTAATACTGTCAGTTGGTTAATCTTTGGGAGATGTAGTTTCCAGTTAAATCTGGTAACACGCACTTACAAAGAGGTACCGACACGAAAATTTTAGGTCGTTTATTTGCGCCAAATGAAACGCCAGGCATTCAAGAGCCTGTGAAGTGTACTGGAAATCGTTAGTGCACCCGGAAAAAGTAATTACCTTGTGTTTTTAAGAGGAAGCTTTGGTTCCTGCTGTACCTTGACATTACAACACGGTTTTACGAGCTTCTCGACACATGTTAGCGCAAAATGTCACAATGTTGCTCCATTCCTGGCTCTGTTGGTGACATACAAGCGGCCATATTGAATGTTTTGGTGCCCGACGTCATGCTAGTGCTATTGAAAACAGACTTCAGTATCAAAATAAGGTGTCCTATTAGCATTTACCGAGCTTCTACTTGCACAGAGCAATCTCTGTATACAGGATATTTGTATGACAGAGTAAGCACACAGTCAAAAGTTCATGTGACTACAACTTTTATGACTCTCTCCATAGAATCACTTGCTCGTGGTCCCATTACAATTTGCCATGCATTCAGCGTAGGGTGTCTTGGGCTTCTTCAGCGATGCACGATGGCATGACGGCACAGTGTCAGCTGCGACGGGCTTATGTTGTTGTTCTACTTTCTCCTTCTCCGGCAGTCTCTGAAGATGTTGAAGCACTCTGACCTCAAGCCGTACGTGGTCTTTGTGGCCCCACCGTCTTTGGAGAAGCTCCGGCAGCACCGTGCCCGACAGGGCGTTCCCGTACGAGAGGAGGAGCTGCGAGAGACCATCGAGCGAGCGCGGCAGATGGAGGAGACCTATGGCCACTACTTCGACATGGTCATCGTCAACTCGGACCTGGACCGCGCCTACAGCGAATTGCTCAAGGAGGTGGCCATTTTGGAACGCGAGCCGCAGTGGGTGCCCAGTGCTTGGCTCACAAACCAGGACAATGGCGCGGGCTCTTAGCCGCTGGCCACCCCATTGGAGATGCTTAGTGCCACCTCGTACGCCTGAAATCCGAGGAGCACCCACGGTTGCGAAGACGACGAGGCCTTCAACTGCCGCGACTGGTCGAAGACAACGCGGGACGTCCGTGGTGCAGAAGCAATACATTAAGTCGTTGCAGGCGGCAACCCTGCACCTTTGTCGCCGTGCAGTGACGGTTCGCTAGTGGACCAGCTTCTCAAAAAACACCACCACCCATGTCGCCCTGCGTTGCAGACCGATCGCGATGCTCAGAAGCTACGTCCGGCGATTTGTTTCTTCCGAGGCCATATGGACAGTGCCACCTCCCCCCCCTTCCATGTGCGCACGATGACCCGACGGGTCGTACAAAGCCTGGTGGCGTTAACTATGCGGAACTTTTTGGAATCGGATGGTGCAGCTTGTATATTTTGAGAATTTAGACGCAAACACCGCACACTTGAGGCCATTTTTTATGTACGATATAATAGGAGCAACTAGAAACGTTTTACTACTGCCAGAAAAAGCGCGGCTCCAGTCTCTATTGGCAGGGACGCGACGGCCGACCGTTCGCAGACAGTCTCTGCAACCTCACGCTATCAGCGCAGAAGAACGGGAGCTGGGCTGGGCAGTCAGTACAAATCAGAGTTTGTGAAGCATTTCGTTTTTTTAGGAGAAAAAAAAAAAAGCGTAACCATTACATTGTGTGTACTGTCTTCAGAGCGTCGTTTTAAAAGTTGCAATTTTAACCCTTGTGTGAAAAAAAAAAAAGGCAAGGTGTGGATGACACCTCCGAATAGCCAACTTGTGCTAGTATAATTTTGAAGTGATTGTGCAGATGTGTCTTGTGGATAGTTTAAACCCTAACTCTCTCGTGTACTTCCCTACAGTCGAACGTTGTTACAGTGAAATCTTATCGTTCTCAAAGATACCTCAGTTATATCCTGTATCTGTAATATGCATGCTGATATCTGCAGAAAGGAAAAAGGCCAATCTGTCTAAATTTACTTCACGGTGACAACGTTCAACTGTAGTAGATAATTTTCTACATCTGCCGCCATTGTAAAACCATGCTGTGATGCGAAGGCAGATTTCTCTTCGGATGTCGAAACACTTTTAGGCAGCCTTTATCGCACATCATGGAAGCACTTTTATTGAAAAAGATCTTTGTACTGCGTTGATGGAATGACTGTTGGTTTGGGTGTTTCTTCAGCGCATGACTGGCATCGCGGTGGCCGGTTTCGCGTGTGTCGAGTCCTGCGCACGCCAGAGCTGTGTCACCGTCTTCAACTGTGTGTAGAAGTTGACGCCCTGCAAGCGAAAGAAAAGTTGGGAATCGAGCGCTCACTAAGAAGGCAAAACTCGTGCTAAATACTCACAGCCTTGCCGTAGAAGTTGTTGTCACCCAAGAACGAGCCTCGGGAACCAGTGAAAGAAAACATGGGCAGTGGTACGGGAATGGGGACATTCACGCCGACCTGAAATGTACGAAACAACTCACTTTATGTAGTTCAGCTCTGGTAGTGTAAGTGACTATGGTCTGGTGCAACATAGAGCATGGTGACATTTCTTCCTCTTAGGCAAATGAACATGAACCTGCACCAATAGGCATGTGATGAGCGGAGCTATTTTTTTTTTTTTTTTGTAGTTGTTTAAGCAATTGGCAGCCGTGCTGGACCTCTCCTGTCTTGTATTGTTTAGGTGTGTGCATGGCTATATTGCAACCTAAGAAAAAATGGCAGCGCTGCACACAGCTATCACTCTTCATCCCACAGGAAATTTGTATAGGTGCTCCGTCTAGTGGTGCTGCATCATTTGCATAATGTCAAGGCCTTCTAAAGTGTTTCATTTCAAATTGTTGACTTCTCAAACAGACACACAGTTGTGTTGCTGGTTTTATGCCAGATACACGAACGTCTTGGTAAATTTTGTCGATGATCCGGCATCGATGAGCCAAACGTAATGTTTTGGCTAGTGATGACAAACGTTCAACTGTTGGTACGCACAGAATTTGCATTAGCCAAGCAGATGTACTTACAATTCCAGTGAAACCAGCTTGCACAACTCTCAATCTGCGACACAGTGCTGTGGGCAGAGCTTACACTTTTTTTTAGGTTGTAACCAAAGAATTTCTCGCTCCGCAGCAAGTCGTCAGCTGTAACGCATGTTGGCATCACCAACACACTACTGAACAGTTGTTGCAAGAGATTGCTGAAATGTTTTTCATGCTTTGACACAACTAGGTTCTCGAGGATTGCTGTGTACTACCTAAAACGCGTTGGTCGGCAAGTTGGTTAGCATCGATAGAAGAGGAAGTAAGCGCAACTTGATGAGAACACTGAAAGAAAACCAGACCAGGCAGTGCTATGTCTGTGTCTGGTTCTTTTCTATGTCCTCGTCAAGTTGCGTTCATTCACTCTGTCATGTGCACCACTGCTTGATGCACGGCATGCGTAGAAGCATTTTACAGCACTTTGGGCATTGTTTAGCAAGAGACACTTACTTGTCCTACGTCTATCTCCTGAGTATACCTCCTCGCAGTGGCACCGTTTGTAGTGAAAATTGCAGTTCCGTTACCATAGGGGTTCGAGTTTATAAGAGAAATCGCTTCGTCCATCGTGTCCACATTGAGGGTTAGCAACACGGGTCCGAAAATCTCCTCCCGATAGCAACGCATACTGGGCTGCAAGAACAGAAAAATACTTTGATGAACACTGCGATACCTCGCACAGCTGAATTTAAGGATTTAAAAGCATGGCAAGCGACTGAACCGGAAATAGTCAAACTCAAATTAGTGCTCTGCGGGGACACTTTTCACTGAGCTTATCGGACAGTTGTCGAGAAGTGGTGTCGCTATCACAAGCGTATGTGCCTGCACACGATACACAAATATCGAAGCAAAACAGGCATTGCTTCACAGATACTTTGAAAGATAGCGACTTTGTGCAGCTCCATTTATGCATTGTACAAAGGTAAAGCAGCAATACTGTATGTTGAAGTGAATTAGCAGGGAGAAAAGTACTGCGCACATCAAACATATTCCAAGAGACATACGTACATGAGCATTGAGCAACTAATGAAATGCACGTAACCCGAGACTAGTGTAACTCAATGGCACACGACAAATTTGGCAGTGCATGAAACTTGATCCATTGGTGAAGTGCTGTCGGGTGAAGCCATTGCTTCGTTTTATCTGGAGTGGATTGTACACTTGCATCTTAATGTTTTTAAAAAAATGGTTCAGGCACATTTATGCAACCCCTATTGGGTGTGGTGGAGAGTATGCAAACAAAAATTTCTACTTCAGCCAAAATTTTTATTTACATGCTCTTCACGGATTCAAGGTGCATGAAGATGCCAACTTAAAAAAAAATCATTTCATCTATGTCCTGCATTTCACATACCGACTCCTGCAGGTGCACAGATATTAGCGAGGGTTTTTTTTTGTTTTTTTTTTCCTGTGCTCTTTAGTTACGTAAGTACGTATACACGAAACACAGGAACAAGCTTTTCGGGTTGAGGTAATGAACACACTTATTAAGACTGACTTCAACGAAATTTGTTGAGTTTAAGAAAAGCCTCCATTTTACTAACTGCAGCAACCAGATATTTGAATCTGTGCCTTAAATTTTTCAGCAAAAACTGCCGGAAAGCAGCTATTGTACTCGGGGGAAGAAAAAAGAGTAAGCCCAAAGTCCGCTAATGAAATCAGTGACTGAATGAAAACGCGATATCTTAATTCTGTGAACAGTGTCTGCCAAGGCGTCCAAGTTGTATTTTCGATGCCTCAGGTCATCTGAATTTTGCACATAAAAAAAAAAAAAAGTGAATGCTAGGTACTGCTCAAACTGTCGACAGCTTCTAAGTGCAACAAATCTCGCATCGAGTTTCATTCCAGTTGATGCCAAAGAAGAGAAATTTATTTTGTTGTTCTTGTAGTGCATCGCCCTGCACATTTTGCAGTGCTACATCATGCATGACTACCCAAGGACCCATGGCTATGTTGCAATTGATTGAGTGCCCAGCTTCAGAAATTCACTCCATACCCAGTTACAACCTTGAAAAAAAAAATGTCAGCTGCACCATCACTGTCCGTCCCACAGAGAATCTGCATGGATGCCCCTATTCGATAGTGCCCAGTAATTTTTGCGACTTCTAGCTCTTCGTGAGAGTTTCAGATAGTTGACTGCCATATAGACGCATGTTTGTGTTGCTGGTTTTAGGTTGGAAACGTTAACGTCTAGGTAAACTTCGTCAGAGGGTCTGACATCGCTGTTCAGCCAAGCAATGTTTTGGGTGAATACTTTTATCTCCCGATACATGCAGTATCTACGTTAGCCAAGAAAAAGTACTTACAGTTCAAGTGCACACCAGCTATCGCTACCATTTCAAGGGCAGATGCGCCACCGTTCTGTTGTTAGAGCTTGCATTTTCTTTCCTCAAGTCCTAACCAACTATACAGTCAGGCTTATGAAAGAAGTCGCATGCCAAGTAACATTCGCATCATAGCTTACCTTTACATCAGTGAGGATGGTGGGCCCCACGAAGTTGCCCTTCTCAAAGCTGGGCACCTTGATGTTGCGGCCATCCAGGATGATCTTGGCTCCCTCTTTCACCCCACTTTCGACGAGGTCGCAGATGCGTTGCTTGGCTTCTGGAGATATGACGGGGCCGAGGTCGGCGCCCGGGACATGGCCGGCATTCACGTTGAGCTTCTTGGCCCGCTCTACCAGCTCGGGGATCCAGTTCTTGGCCTCTCCGACGAAAACGGCCGTGCTCAGCGCCATGCACCTCTGGCCAGCCGCGCCGAAGGCGGCACCCGTCAACTGGTTGAGCGTGTACTCCTTGTTTGCATCTGGCATGATCACACCGTGGTTTTTGGCTCCCTGTAAGCAGCATTGTCAATGTTGATTGGGCACTTTTCATCATGTAACTACAGGTAAACCTCGATAGAGCAAACTTCAATATAACAAAATTCTCGATATAGCAAAGTATTTATTTTTTTCATAATTTAATATCAGCAGAACACCATGTATATTCATTTTCAATATAATGAAATTATACTGCCACCCTAGAGAAAGACCAAAGTGACCAAATTACATTTCTGCTGGGGCCAGTGGTCATATGGTGAAGTTGCTTGCAGTTTTTGTGAACATTTACCACAATGCACGATTTCTTTTGGGTTTAGCATGATGTTTGGCCACTATGAAGAGGACTTTTTCACTATGCTTCATCAAGCTGCTGACACGAAATCTCAGGTTAAGGAAAGTGTATTTTTTTACATTACAGATTTTAGTTTTTCTACTGCCATAGTTTTCTAACATTCTTCCTTGATCTTCCTTGGCAACTATACCTTGCTTAAAAAGATGAGTTTCAATTCAACAGTGTTTTAAGATGAACAACGTAAATTGTTGATTTCACCGGCTTCGTTATTTCGAGGTTTAATGGTGGTGTGTTACACAGTGAAGTGCAGTCAAGTCATAGGATCAGTTCACATAAGTGTCGCATGGAACGTAGAGTGTACACCTACCTTTCTGTATGTGTATTGCAGATTTCATGTTAGTGACGAAGCTAAACAGTGTCAGGAGCAACGTCATAAATGAATCTAAGCTTTGGCGACACGAAAAGACTTCAAACAAAACACTCACCATGTTACACTGCACTCTTTTGCCATTCTTCGAACCCCGCTCGTAGATGAACTT